TAATTAATTCCATCCTGCGGCCGGATCCTGCAGCTCTCTGATGAAAGCAATGAATGGGTCAAGGAAGACAGCGGGCTGCAGAATCTACTGCACAAAAGAACAAAACTAAGGCCTGAAGGCAGAGAACAGCAAGACAATGCAACAACTGTTGAAAAGAGCCTCCTAAAATGTGTGCTCAAGATGGACAGTCATTGGTGAGATGGGATCTCATTTTTTCCCCATAGCTTTCAGGAGGAGACGAAGCGTGAAGTGGGGAACACCTCTGACTATCCTTCCATTCACACCCCAGCAGTGTGTTATTACACCAGATGCATACCAAACCACAAAAGCTCCTACTTATGCATCCTCCATTTTGTATCTAGACCCAGTCTGCTCCTGCGCTGCCTCCCGCTCCTTAAGCCTTTCACTTGCCATGTGGCACAAAGCTCTATTCAAACGTCCGCCTTCATATCTCAAAAGAAAATGGAAACTTTCTTCTGTAAGGACTTGACAAAGGAGATCAAAGGGCCCTAAATGGATAAGGGGGAGCAGAGAGAAAGCAGGAGACCTCACACCCTGAAGGAGAAATTCCTAGAAGGGCAAGATGGTACTGGATGATTTAAAAAGGGAGATTGCTATGAAAAAGATAATGGTTGTGGAAACAGCATTCAAATGGAGAGCAAAGACATTGGGCACGGAAATCTCTGCCTCAGCTACAGCCAGGACTGTCATTGGGACCTCTAGGAGACAATACTGGTAACCAAAGATGTGGAAAGGGAGCCAGGATGCCTGGGTCCAGCAATCCCACTGACCTGCCATGTAATACTGCGCCACCCCCTTTTTGTCCACCTATCAAAGGCATCCAGGACTGGCACACCAGATGTGGCAACATTCACATGAAGCAAAAGCTGCTTGACAGAAAGTGGCAACCCCATCAGGGCCCACACCAGCGGGCAAAGGAAGCTTTGCTGCTGGCTGGCGCAGGAAAAGGATTAGCCTTTACACGTACGCCAAGCGCTCTGAGAACTGGAGCAAATTCGAATCCCGAGCAGTTCAGACTTCCCAGATATGCATCTCAGCTAGTTTCTAAGAGTCAGATACCCCTGAGCGCAGCAAATACCAGCTCTTCATAGTCTCATCTGATCTTCTGCTCCTTAATGTGAGCACATCTGTCCCATGATGGGGGATGACTGTGGCAGCACTTTCATTAGACACTTAGAGAAAAAACAATCCTCATCCCAGTCACACCAGTATAAATCCAGAGTCCCCCCAGTGGAAGTCACTTCTCCAACTCCAGACTGATATAGCAACAGCAAATCCACAGAAGGAAATTCTTAATGCCAGGCTTTTCCCTCATCAAATGGGATTCACCTCATATGCAGCTGATGTGAGTATAAAGCCCCAATGGCAAATGAAGCCATTGCCTACCTGGAACAGGTATCTTAGCAAAGATTTTGGTGCATTTCGGCTTCTTTTAATGTGTTTGGGAACAAAGACATCACCCTTCATTCACAAGTGCTGTTTGGAAATGGCGATATTCTTATGGATGGTACTAGCCGGTCAGGAGTTATACCACCTGGGAATCAACTGGGGGTTTGTGGAGCTGGTCTTACGTCTTCAGTGGTGGAAGGGATCCACTAGCAAACCCCCGCATGTGACTTGCAGGAACTGACAGGTGAGCATCAAAACTGAAGGAGAGCACTTTCCCCGTCACTAGCATGAAAGGTTCAATTAGCTTGCTCCAGCAGGAGATGTATAATTTTAGATTCAGGATATCATCAGTCAATAGTTAATGAGTGAACTGATGAGAACACGAGATGCCTTAAGTGGACTAGTTTGAAGAGGAGGTGAGTGCCTGTAATCAGAGGAGGATTAGTGCCATTCAGCTCCATGCTACCAGCTGTGTTGCCTTTGTAAATACTTGCCTGTTTCCTTTCACCATGGAGACTGGTTGTTGCTCAGTGCTTATTTCTGGCTGTTAGTGGAATCGCGGGCAGACCCTTTACGAGTGGCGTTTCAGGCCCGTTGTTGTGGGAGAATGGTAGCACCCACTCTAGCCAGCGCTGAGACTGGAGCTAATTTCACAGATGACTTTTTAAGAGTGCTCAAGGCTGACACTTCAGCAGTGGCTCAGACGCATCATTTGCTGCCACCGAAAATGGCAGTTTCCCAAGGAACCAGCTTTAAAGACATATAATTGTCAAGCACGATTGTGCTGCTGATGGGTGCCCGGGTGAGCGAACTCTGCTTTTCCATGAAGTGTCAGGACGCAGCCACGTGAACTTCCTCCAAGGTGCCCCATCTGCATGCCTCGACCCTGCTCTAGAGACGGGGTGAAAAGGCTGTTTTGTCCCCTTGCCTGTTTAGCCTTCGATGATGATACTCTTCAGAACAGCGGGAAACAATGACAAGTATGGGAGTAAATTTTGTGACGCGGCCACTATAAGAACTCAATGGAGGTGGGTGGCTGTTTCAACCTTTTCCACAGAGGCAACATTAGACCTTCATGACTTTTGATTTCCGCTTACCTAAGCTGGATGCGAACAAGGGCTTGCAAAAGGTGAGGATTCACAGTGTGCTACCATTCTCAAAGTACAATATCCGAAGAAGCCACGCAATGATCAACCCACCGCAGACAGGACCTGTACACAGCAGGAGAAGGAGGACAGCTCCCAGACTTCACCTGCGGGCTGCAGCCCCATTTTGGACCAGTATATAAACGGTTTCCACCTCCATGCCCACTCCGAGATTGAAACCCACCCCCCACTTCTATCGCAACCTTAGTCCAGAGGAACAGAGAGCCATACTCAGCCTTATAAACAACCTGGCTATTAACATATAACAGGCTGATAGTGGGGGTGCAACCACTGTCCTGGACAAAACAGCATACATACAGGAAACCAAGAGACAACTTTCCAACATGGAGATTTACAAACTCCTGACAGAGGACCCCAGGGCACAATACTGGGGAGAACTAGATAAACTCCTCAAGAAACCACCTCTGGAAACACAGGAGAAGATTCCTGCCAGGAGCCCAGGCCAAGCAACTTTTACTTATTTCCCAAGATCCACAAACCTAGTGCCCCAGGACACTGCATTGTCTCTGGCACTGGCCCATCAGAGGGAGTTCCTGGCTACGTCGACTCTATCCTATTCCCATGCACTACTGGAGCTAACAGCTATTTGAAAGACATCACGGATTTCTTAAAGAAACTTGGCTCCATGAACTAGCTTCCAGAAAACACCATATTAGCCACCACAGATGCCCTATCTCTGCACCGACAGGCCCCCTGAGGATGGATTACAAGCCATAAAGAACATTATCCCTGATGAGGACGCTGCCTCTGTTTCCATCAAACTGTTTGTCCTCACACACAACTAGTTCAGATTGGAGACTCCCTATACCTAAAAATGAATGAAACTGCTGTGGGCAATATGCTGATATATTTATAACAGACCTCAAAGTAGGTGTTGTCGACAGCTGTCCTCTCATCCCCCCATATACCTAAGGTGCACCAATGACATCTTCATCGCCTGGACTCATGGGAAGGAATCTCTAGAGAAATTTCACCAGGACTTCAACAAATCCCACTCCTCCATCAAACTAACTCTGAACTATTCCATGCAGAAAATTCATTTCCTAGACATGAAGGAGAAGGTTTCCAATGGGCACACTGGCACCACGTTGTATTGGAAACTGTCATAACAACCTTCATATCACCAGCTTTCATCTTAAGCACACCACTAGATCCATCATCTACAACCAAGCTCTGTGTTACAGCCATATCTGCTCTGACCTCACCGATGGGGAAGAACATCGAAAACTCACCTTAATGGTCTGGAGCAAGGATTCCTACAATCCCAATAAAACTCCCAGACTGTAGCCACTCGAATGAACAAAGCCAGAGTCAGACCTTGCACCAACCTGTTACGATACCAATCCCAGGGAAAGGATAACAGAATCCCTCTGGTTGTCACCTATAGCCCCCCATCTTGAACACCTTGGACACATCATTAATAACCTCCAGCCCCTCCTGGAAAAAAGAACAACCATCTCAAGGTAGTCATGAGGGGCAAACCTATCCTGACTTCAAATGGTGTCTGTTCAACGACAGGGTACTTAATACCCTTCTCACTGGGGCATCAGGCCTTGCAGGACACCAAGGTGCCAGCTGTGCCCCCTCACCCATACAGACAACGCCATCGCTGGACCAAATGACACCAATTCTCTGTGCCATCTCATATATACAACTTTACCATCCTCATGTATACGATCACCTGCTTGAAATGGCCCTCTGCTGTCTTCATTGGACAGACAGGGTGATCTCTACGTGTAAAAATGAACAAACACTGCCCTGACATCCATTCCAGAAAGATGCACAAGCCTGTGGCAGAACACTGGACCCTCCCTGGACCCTCCATCAATGACCTCAGAGCAGCTGTTCTTAGATAGTATAACTTTAAAAACCAGCTCGAACAAAAACTGCAGAACACGAGATCATCCACAGACTGGACTGTGTTAAGCATGGTTTAAACAGGGACTACCAATTCTTATCCCTGGATTAGCTTTTGTGACCTCTTTTTCCACCATGGGCTTATTGCTTGTTTGCTTCTCCCAGCACTGTTCCCTCTCCTCTCCCTCGCTGTCTTTTGTATTCAAATCACTCACTCCATTTTATATGCTGCTCTGTGGATATCCTTTCATGGCATCTGATGAAGTGAGCTCAGACTCATAAAAACATATGCTATCTAAGACAGTTAGTTTATAAGGTGCGAATTGACCCTGCCTTCTGTCTGACTGAAGACTAACAGGGCTAACTACCTTTCACTGTTTTGCCATCAGGTTGTAGACCTTTCTGGCTTTACGGGTGCATAACGAAAAGTTTATCTGGCGGGAAAACTAAATTGGCACCACTAAAAGAAAACTGAAAAAATCACATCTTTAAAGCAGGCCAGGTGAAAGAGGGTGAGGAAACAGTCAAGTGGATGTAATTATTAAATAGCATCCTGCTTTGTCTTACCTTGTACAACCAGCCTTCCCTGGGCCGTTCTCCGCACCCTGGTGCCAGGTTTATTTGCTGCACACACATATATCCCCGAATGCTGCACAGTGAGGTCAGAAATCATGAGATTTCCTGTCCCAAGCACCTGAATCCCTTCCACACCGATCGGGCGGCCATCTGCAAGCAGAAAGGGAAAAAGACAAAATTACTTGCTTGGGTTTTAACCTCAACTCCCTCACCCACAAGGAAGTCCCAGGTCAGAGCCCTGTACAGCTGCCCATCTGATGCAAGCTTTTCCCCTGAGCTCAATGGGTTTTAGTTCAGGCTTCTCCATGCTGTAACTGGAACAGAACAAGCAAATAAAAGACAATCTGGGATCCCTGAGTGTGCCGTTGCTCTCCGTTACAACTAGAACTGGATGAAAAACACAATTTCCACTACACCATTTTCACCTTTTCAAAAAACCCAGCCTAAACTCAAAACAAAACCCACAGAACTCATACATTTGTGTGGAATCATGCAGTGTTTCATCTTGGAAACACCAAAATATGGCATTTCTGGAACAAAGTTTACACTCTCCAGGATCCTGGCAGCACCTGCTGACATCTTGCATCGATGACATATTTTCCTGACAGCTGCAGAGCTGCTATCACTGAATAGCAGTGGGGAAGCTGGTTAACTTTATCATGTCCTTTCAAGGGTGGGCAGACATGAAGCTGTCAAGAGTCAAGTCAACTTCAGTGAGCCACTGACAGGTTCCAGGACTCCTCTAAAGTGTTCTCGGGAATCAGCGGGCTTTCTGGTACTCTAGACCAGCCCTACTGTCAGCTGGGGCTAGCTGACCTGGGAATCTGAAAGCCATGCCATCCCCAGCTGTAGGACTCGCTGGGTGACAGGGCTGCCCTCACACAGTGGACCCAAAAAACCCAGCTCTTCGGATGCCTGGGAGAATTTCTTCAAAACCGAGCCAATTTTGTGAAACACTTGTTTTGATGAATCAGCGCTTCCTGATGAAAGCCCGTTTGACCGGAGAATTCCCAGCCTGCTCTAATTATGCTGCATTTCATCAGTAGCAGGCCATTGCTTTTCATCGTACCATTGGTTTGTGTTTTAAGACTCTATCTGCCAAACATCCACGTGTGTTAAGAGTGTCTGAAGGGAGGGAAGGTGAAGGGCTGTGACTGCTGGTGGAGGAGCTGCCCTTTCATTAGATGTGAAACTGGACACTTGCTCCTTCTTACATTTGCTAAGAGGGAAGTTGGAAGATCCTACAGAACAGGAAAAAAAGACCCAGCCATAATGACCACTATATATACCTGCTCCTCTCAACAGCAAACTCCCCAGTGTGTTACGTTCTACAGCAGAGGTGCTCAAACCCCTACCCATGGGCTAAGTCTGGCCTGCAGAGCCATGTCATCCAGCCCCCAGGGCTCCCCATGGGTCCAGAAATGTGGCAGCAGGGGAGTAGTGACAATTAGCACTGCCACTGCTCTCTTCCCACCAAATTTCCAAGCCCTGCATGGCTGCATTGGGCCTGGGCCATTGCCATGTGGCCAGATTAGGCCCCGGTCACACCCACCCCACATGCTGGATTGGGCCTACAGATGGACTTGGCAGCTCTCATCTGGCCTATGGGATGAAAAAGCTGTGCACTGCTGCTCCAGAGTTGGGGATAGGTATCTAACAAAAAGGTAAATGTAGGCTAGTCAAGAAAAATTCCTGCCAACGAGCTCAGTTAGCCTGCAGCATGACCTCTCAAGGGAAGCAATAGCAGCCCAGTAAAACCAGAATTCACATACTCTGCAGGGAACCATTGTTCCCTGGTAAGAGATCAACCAAGTGAGACGACAGCTTTTTTCCAGTGCTCTGGACCTGATTCTAAATATCTGCATTCCAATTCACTTAGCTCTATCTATGATTCTCTTTGATCCAGTTGGGAGCACAATTATTGAATGGCTTTTAGCAATGGAGAGCCTTAGATCAAAGGGACAGGGGATGATCCCACTTGCAAGTATCCATAGCTCTCAACTACAATCATTCCAGCATCAATATCTACTGTAATCCAAGGGTGGGAAGTCCAGGTGCAAAATCCTCCAGTGGTAGATGTTCTCCAGACCTCGCTACTACTGTAGTAATGCCTCTTATTTTTATCCTCACTCTCGTAGTTGTGCTTCAGGCAATAAGTTGATAAGTAGCGAGGTCAGAAAAAATTCCCCCGTGGTACATGATGGCTAGAAAATGGTATTTAGAGGTTTGCTTTTGGGAACTGGTTGTAGGTAAAGTAGATATGCATTAAAACAATGGTTCATGGCAACGGCAAGGGTTAATTGATCTCTAAAAGCCTGTTTGTAACAAAGTTTCTTCAAGGCCCACCCTGTCTGACACAGGCAAGCAGCAAACAGACACACAAGCTGGGAAATTTAAGACATGTTCCACAGGGTTCCATAACATGAGGTAAGGTGGCATTAGGTACCAGTGCCCAGCTGCAGAGCCCTTGGGATTTCTGATTTTGGGGAACAGACCAAATTAGGAGGACACCGGAAAGAACCAAATTAGGATGTGTGCATGTGATGGGTTTGTGAAACAAGGGAAATATGCTGATAGGACAGAACATGGACAGTAGGACGACCACAGAAAGACCAATCAGTGATGCCCAAAGATGAAAAGTCATTAGAGGAGAGAAAGAATATAAAAGAGGGATTTTAGAGCAGCAAAAGGTCCCCAAGAGGGGAATCCGAGGCCACTGTGGACAGAGGGCACACCACCAACCTGTCTCACCCACTCCATTGTGGGGGCAAGGGAGGGGGTTCAGCCTCCAACCTGCTGACATCTGACACTCCAGAAAGAACCTCAGGGTAAAGCTCGCATACTGGCCAGACACACCTTGACTCTGTAAACCCTGGGACTGGTAGATATAGAAGCGTTTGCATTATTTTTATCTGCTATTGCCATGTATCAATAAAATTCACCTATTATCAAATGGAGAGGTCACGGTCAGTCTGAGGGTTTGGGTCCACCTGGAACGAGGTATCTGGGTCATAAATCCAGTGCCAAAAGTATAGTGCTACAGAATTAAGAGCTTTATTGGAGAGTTTACTCTTCCCCCGAAGCATCCCGCACCAGTGACAGATGAACAGAAAATAAACTACATGGACAAAATGGGTGATTCATATACAGCAATGTTTACTGCAGTAGGGAATTAATTATAAGCCAACCAAATTCCACATTGCAGTCCATCTCCAGCACACATGGGATCCACCAACTTCTTCAGTTTGTTTCTGTTGATGTCTGAGACAATTGAGATCTCCATGCAACTTTTTTCTCTCTCCAGAAATTATTTTTGGATGCCACAGGCAAAACCTACTTCTAAAAGATCCCAGTCACCAAAAAGAAAGCTCAAGTCCTGAAGAAAAGGTGAAGAGATGAGAAGAAATGGGAAACCAGGTTTTTGAAAGGAAACAGCAGGTCCTGCAGCAGGTGTTTGTTAGATTCCAATGGTTGGGCCCATTAGAGCAGCAGAATTCACTGATGAATTTCAAACTGGGTAGATATTGATGGAGCACTCTCTCATGGACCAACAGGCAGGAAGCAGAGGATATTCTTTGTCAATGGCAAGTATGTCTCCCATGCTCTTGGCAATGCTTTGCTGGAGATGTTTAAGATAAAAGTTTTCTGGTCTCATCAGGCAGGCAGATCCAGGTCACTTTATTATGTGCATTACAGAAAAAACCGCTCAGGTCTTTTAGACAGAGAAAAACAAATTCCATTAACTAGCCATATGGCTGGCCAAGAGCAGTAAATGGATCAGTCATAAAAAGGACAGTAAAGTGTGACCTGTCCAACATTTAATGGGCAATAAGATGGGTCCTTGCCTTGAAATGTAATTTAAGCTGAGCAGAGAGAAGGTTTGAACTAAATCCAAATTGAACTTGATTTTATCTTTGAATTAGGTCTTTTTGAAGCTCATATTTAAAACAGGTGTAAAAAGCCCTGTTTAAGTACGGGTGTCTATAGGCCTCCCATTGTCTCTACAGCTGCCATTGATTAATAAGAGATGTGAGAGCATAGGAAAAATCCACTGCTGAAGCTTTTCTTTTCTCTTAAGAAATGGAACAGACATTCTTCAAGGCTAAAGGTTTAAGGGAAATGACCATTCACATCTCAGGAGTGTTGCAGTTTCTAATTTCTACCTCACAGGGCTGGTCCAGCAAGGTGTCTCATCCAGCATGCACTCCATGCCCTCCTGGCCCAGCAACTCTCATCCAGTCCATGGAGTCAGATGAGTGTGACACCCCTGGGTTAGAAGACAGCAGGTTCTCTGGGCTGGTGTCAGAAAAATTTGGGATCAATCTGTCAGGCTTAAACGGAAATGGTTCAGATGAACTCAGAAGCCATCTCTAAACTGCCCTTTCAAGACAGCAAGTCTGCATGGCATAAAATGCCTCTTACCTCCCATCCAAACCAATTCAATTAGAGTTTGGAAATAGCATATCTTTTCCCATGGGCCTGAGCAGGCTAGCAAAATTTATATGAGTCCCTTCCTGGAACTCAGCCTCAGTAGCTTTGCCAACCATCAACAAGATACTTAATATCCTTTGCTGCACCAGAGGTTCCCTGGCTTCAGCTCTATGGATGACTTCATTACACAAAACTTATCTTTTGGCCTCCCAAAACTTGTTTTTCCTTTTGCATTTTCTATTTGCGAGAACTGGCCTCTAAAACAGGTGAAGAGTAGACCCAAGGACCACTCATGAAGCAGGATATTCTACAGTCCACAGACAGCCACCAAGCTCTATAACTCTGCAGAAGATAAACAGCTAGCAGCACACTGCTAATCCAAGCGCTAAAGGGGAAACTGAGCCCCATGTGTGCGCGCTTGCTTTGAGGTTGCAGAATTAGGTCACTTCCACTTCACTTTACCCTGCCTGGATTGTGACAAAACACCACTATCAACCAGCTCGAGAACAGCAGGGTGGAATGCTGATGGGGGCTTTAAAATACGTGTTGTTTTTAAGACATGGGTTTTGATCAATAGCGAAGAACAGCTGGTGAGTCTTTAATAAACACTAGTTACATTAAAACTGGCTCTTCTCCAAACAAGAGATGCTCCCAAAGAATCTCTCAGTAATATCCAAATACATTTTTACGTTAGCCATTAGCATAGGAACTGGATAAAAGTATCTCACCACGCAAGACACAACTTATTTATTTTTCCAAGGTATCTGTGATACTTTTTCATAGCAACGGTCTCCATTGTTCTGTCCCCTAAGCCAGTGATTGGCACATCGGTACCAATTACAGAGATTCGTTAAAACGTGCTAGGCAATATGAATATGCAACAACATGGATGCCTTTCTTTGATAAGTAGCAAGTAGAAAGAAAGTAACAACTTTCTAATGTTGACCATTTAGGTCTTTTGTGGATCCTTTGTATCGGGGTATAGTAGCCTTCTACTTTTTAGACACATGGGTCTTCTACTCCATCGGACATTGGGCACCACGTATTAGCATATTTAGAATACATTGCAACAGTTGACTATTCAGTATGTGAAGTGGTGAAATTTACTCTATTATTTCTAAACACTTACGGGACTGGTGCTCCTGTCAACCAGTCAGCCATCTATTGCAAGCTTCTGTGTCCAATAAGTTACCAATTAATTGGCTCCTACAATTGTTGTATAGTTTACTTCCTGAATGGCTCCCTCTTTAGTAATTTCCTTCCCATTGTGGGACCCTTTCTGACAACTTCTGTATAACGCTATCAGATAATCACTGCCCTTTCTTTCTCGTCTCACTTCTCTATCTCTCACTAAATACCGTATTATTCTCACTTGGTGCCGTTCTGGAGGCCAACACCATTGGCCTGTCAGTTAAAGGATAAGCTGTAAGGCCGTATATTAAAAATCATCATCTCTTCTGCAGGCTCTGAGGTAAATGCCCAGGATATTTATTTGTGCATAAATGCAGGTCCAAGTTGGAGCATGCATTTCTGGAAAGGAAGCTCTTTCCCACGTAAAACAAAACTTTTCAGGATTTTAATCAGAGCCGGTCCACTAATAAACCTCTGAGTTTTGCAATGCATATCATGCACTGGCAGACCCAGGAAGTTAGTTTGTGGTAGAGGGGTACAAAATATACTCATGCCAAATGAAATTCAAAATTGACTGCAAATCATTCAAAAACTGGCTTATAAGTTGAGTGATTTTTCTCCCTCTCCACCAGCCACTTTTCCACTGAAAACTAGCTGTATTTGTAGCAAAGCTAGAAGAGAAAGTAGATCTATTTGATAAAGAAAGGACAATTTTATAAATAAAACCCATGCAGAAAGTCAAATGTTCACTCATTTCTTCTGGGGAGGGAAAAAGATTGCCACATCATCAAAATCAAAAGTCATGTGACTGGGGGCAGAGGGGATGCAAAGATAGTGGGAAAACGTTGTGTATAAAAACCTGCAAGAGTGAAACATTTCATAGAATGCAATGATTCTTCTTTTAAATAATGAGAAAACTGTTCGTTCATCGTTGTTTCGGTTTATACCAAGTTGAAACGGATCCTCACTTAAGTTGGCAGCCTTCATTTCAGGGACTGCGGCTGGGTGCTGGACAGCTTACAGTACCACGAGGACGATTCTCTCTTCCCTCCTCAGGTTGTATGACAGTAGTGGCCACAGGCTGTCCTTCCGGTGGCTCTTTTAATGAGCCACCATCATAGCAAGTGCCTCTGAAAGGTGATTCCATGTGCAAAGACACTATGTGTATAAAGTCAGTTGTGCATGAAAACATATCCTTTTGGATGCCAAGGCTTGGGCTGTTTTTAGTTGGTTTTGTTCCAGTTGGAGTCCTTTCAAAGCTAAGTCATTTCCTTTCCACTCCTCCTATTGCTAGAGCACAAGAGCAGCAAATGCTACGCTGGTGCATATGTTCGCAGGCTATCGAAACTGCTCAAGGAGAACCAGAGAGACTCACAAATCCACAAATGTGTTGAGTACCTTAAACTTACCATACCACCCAGGATGCAGACAATAGTGCCTGCCTCCTTGGAGAGAGGGAAAAACATTCACAATTAAATGGAACAGTTTAAAAAAAAACGGGATTTCCTTCAACTCATTGGTTTTGATCAGATGCCAAGTTGCATCCCAATGCAAAAAAGATGTCTGGTTTTGGTAGAAAGGCAAGGCTCAGCAAAGCCCATATGAAGTAACATAGCTTGAAATTATTATATCTTCATTATCGCACCATTCTGTGGAGACAAGAGTTTTGAACAAGGCAATAAGCCATTATAATTAGGGCAATTATAAAGTAGTTTATTATAGTCAAGCAGCCTTGTGTCCAAGAATACGTTACAGCACAGAGCTTGGTATCATTGACAGTGTACTAGCTGATTTTTAAGACAGCATCAGTACGAAGGTTATCATTCCTGGGAGACAGAAGGGGGGGAAATATATATATCAGCAAACTGGTGTTCTGTATATATATACCCAGCAAACTGGTGTTCTGGGTATTAACAGTCAACTGAATGGGAAAAGCAGTGTGGCTGAACTCCTCTGGATCACTGTTGTGGAAGTGTATCCTTGCCATGTGCCTGAGGAGGGGAACCCATCCTGCCCACAGCAGAGTTCAGAGAACAAGAGGTCATGATGGAAACAGCAAGGAGCTTGGTCACAGTCTTGGGTAAGCACAGGTAGACAATGAGAGGCAGGACAAGCGCCTTTGGCAACATGCAATCCACAAGTGGAAAGATCCTGTAAGAACGAAGTGACCTCAGAAGAGGGAAAGCTGAAGGGCTGGAGAAAGGCTGCCGGGGTTCAGCGGATCAGGAAACCTTCTCTGGTCCCACAGTGCAAGAAGGTGGCCACCAGCAATTTATTCAGGAGAGAGACCTGCTGGGCCATTCGCTATGAGAGCAGCGCTCTGCGGCGTACATCTCTCTGGACTCATGTTTTGAGCAGGCAGAGCTGGAAAAAACATTTGCTTCTCATTGCAAGAAACACAGCACTTAGCTCTATGCCACTTGTGGGATCTGCTTTGACAGCAGCTCAGGTTTTCCTGCCTATCAACAAATGCTGTTCACTTCTCCACCGAGCAGCTACTCTTCAAAGCTTCATATGTGCACCTATTAACCACTCCCATTTCCCTGGGTTTATTTTAAGTCTCTCAAGAGACAGACAGTTGCTCTGGAGTCTGTTTTTCTTGAAAGATGTGTTTGACTGTTTGTGTATGAATTCACTTCTCTGGGGCCAGCACTGTTGATGCTTTTGATGCAGCTACAGAAAATGCTGTCACTTCTTGGAAAGATAAAATTATCCCCTTTCATGAAGCATCTATGGTGGTAACCCACCCCCTTTTATAACAGGTTGAAATAGGAACTCATCAGAAAGCTGCTCCCATAGCACAGACAGAAAGATAAAAGGAGTTCTGAGTCTACAATTAACCTGAACAGTAAAGGGAAGGCTGGATTGCTCAATGCAATAAATACTCGGTGGCATCTAGCTATTTCCCCTGGTGACAACAATCAATTGAATCCAGGATTTCCTGCCACCCACTAGCTTACCTAGTCGACTCCAGGACACAATTGGCCTTGGGTTTCCAGTGGCAACACATTCCAGGATAGCAGTCTGGTGCACAGTCAGGGTGAGGTTTTCCGGGCCAACAAGAATCATGGGATCCTTGTAAGCAGTCGAGCGGGAGCCTGCAAAGACAGTCACTGTTAGCCGTATCTGCCGGACCGGGAATCCTGAGGTTGGGGAGCACTTCAAGGGTCATCTAGCCCTGGGGGGAGGGGAGTACACCTTTTTGGCAGCCATACAACAGATTAGCCCTGCACCCTTCCTGAGTGCCACTCCAACCCCTTTCCCTTACTTGATCTGCTTCTCTACTTCCTGCTCCATGCCACATGATCCCTATGTAAGCTGTTGCTCTGCTTTCTGCTCCCTGTCCTATTAAGTATTGTACTCCCTCTTCCATCCCTGATCTGCTACACCCGCACACACAGGCTGCCTATACCAACTATGGCACATGTGCCACAGGTCAACCACCCCTCATTTGGACCCAGCACAGCAAAAACAGGAAAATACAGTCTCCTACAGCTTCATAAGGCAGGTCACGATGCCCATGAGTGCTGATAGCAGCATCCCAGGGCCCAGATACCCTAAAAGCCCTGGCTCTGCAGAGACAGCAGGGACTGAGGCAGGGGCTTACAATAGGTGCAAGAACCTTATTACACAGCTGTCCAACTTCTAAGTGGCCAGGGGTCAAACACCTACAGCTGCACCAATGGGGGCCGCACAACCGCAGACTGAATCAGAGTGACTCGGACATGGACACTGGCCCTCCCTCCACTGCCTTGCATCTAACAAGGCTGAGAGCCACTGCTACATGCTATTAAGCCATATTATGGCACCCACATCTAATGGAGCTTGTACTCTAACCAGACAGACAAAGAAAGGCCTATTCTATTTTAGTAGGTGGGAAAGAGCTGTGCATAGAGATTGCATGATTTGTTCAAGATTGCATACAGAAGAGCTGAATCCTGGATCTCCTGAGTCCCTGCACAGTGTCTTGTCCAGAGAACTAACCCTCCCTTCAGCCTCCCTATAGCTTTATGGTTTTCAGGAGGACTGCTCCTTTCTTTCTAAAGTGACTTGTGTTAGTTTTATCACCTTCCAGGAGGTAGGCAGGTGAGCTCTTTAACAATGCCATGAGATGCATGCTTGAGATATCATAACCCAACACCTCAAAGCTGTCACCCAGGGAATATGGTGATATCCAAATGCCACCGAGGACCCAATAAAAGCAGCTGAAATTAAGACGGCATCAAAAGTGATGGAGGACAGGCAGCAACAGCTTTCCTGCACATAGGACAAGCTGTGCCAAGTCACCTTGTCTCTGAATCAGATTATGGGCTGTGCACAAAGGGGTATAAAGCAGCTGCGATTATCTGGGGAGTCTACATACAGTTTACACTTTTCATTTGATATTGGGGGCAATGAATATCTGAGTCACCCTGCAAACTCCATTATTATGGGACTGGTGCCTCTGTTGTCTTCTCAACTCCACATTAAACTGAAGCTCCAAGGAGCAGTAACACAGGGCTAACAATGGAGGACTGTTAACCCCTAATGATCATTTACTGACAAGGAAGCACTTTTGGCGAGTTCCTGGCCAGAGAAACCTGTTTGTCCATGTGAACCGATAAATAAGCAGGTGGTTGGTTGGTGGGAGACTAACAGTCTAACACTTGTAGTCATGGGTCACCGGTAAAAAAGTGTTGCTCACCAGCATTTTCAAGAGAGGGAGAAGAGACCAGAGGGGCTCCATATTCTAGATTAGGGGTTTTCAACCTTTTTTGGTCAGTGTACTCCTGGTGGCTGGTCAAGAAGCAGGTGGTCCCCTGGCAGCTGGTCGACGAGCAGGGGGAGCAGGGGTCCCCCAGTAGAAGTGATGCGCGGTGGCAGAAATGGTGGCGGAAATGAAGTGCTGGATGGTGGCAGCAATCCCACCCCTGCACCACTGCTGTGTAACCCCTGGGGCCTTCCCAAGTACCCCCAGCGGTATGCGTACCCCCGGTTGACACCCCGTTCTAGATGAGAAGCCATGTTAGGTGAGGATAGAAGGCATTCTCAAAGAGCTTTCCAAAAGGACAAGGAAACCTGAGTCAGGGTTGCTCTATAGGGGAGTCACCACTTTGTCCAGGCCTGTAGGTCTCATTTGCAAAGCCCGTGCAGTTCATCCTTCAACTGTCACAGGCCCAAGAGAGAAGAATGGTAAACAAGGGTGCCCACAACCCTGGAGCTCTAGGAAAGGGTGAGCAGTCTTATGTAACAGGAGAGTCCAAGGGAGCATGCAACAGTCACCAGGCTTAGGTCACTGGACTCCAGTCTTCACGCCCAGGAGGGGGACAGTAGACAGAGGATCCACACTCACAGAACATGCCATAGACAGAAGCCAAAGGCAGGAACCTCTGCTCCAACCCCCAAAATGTAGCGTGCAGACTCAGGCAGCAGGGTGGGGTGTGCCCAGCAGCGGGAACATTACATGGGCTGGGACAGCAGGGTGACAACCTGTCTGTATGTCAGGAACGGGCAGCCACTCCTGGCTTTACCATCTCTCTGTGCCTCAGTGCTCCCTTTGCCAAAGCAAATTGAGCTTTGGTCTATTTCGAAGTTAAGCTTTTCGGGGACAAGCATGGCCTCTTGCTGTAGTTTGCAGAGCAGGGAGTACAGTGAGCCCTGCCTTGGGGCGAGGCCCCCGGTATTTCCATATCTAGCACGACTGTAGCTCCAAGTAGTAGACGTCTAACCTACACTGCAGGCTCACAAGTGTGGATCCCCATAACACGGTCCTTTATTACCCACAGTTAAGTTTACTAATCCACCTGGTGACAGAGAAGCAAAGCTTGGGCCAAAGCCAGGACAATCCCCAGGCTGGGCATTTTGGCTCAATTAATGTTTTATTGAATAATCAAAGTCTGTATTTGGTCTTTCCCCATTGGCGGCTGCTGTTTTATTTCCAGCTTTTATGTTATGGTGAGACCTGGGTTAGACTCAAGAAAGTCCGAGGTCCAGCAGTGTTTAAGGAATTTCAACAATCCCCGGGTTGCCGCTGGCAAGAATATTCTGTACACCTGCTTGGAGAAATACTTGCATTGATTTTTATCCTTGGGAGTTTGAGGGGAGTAGTGGGAGAAGGGAGATGTGAAGGGCTTGACAGGTTCATTTCAATCTGCTTTGCTATTAGCATTCAGGGTTTTTTTTTTAACTCTTCTTTCAAGATCCATCAGCTGCGGACCCTTGCACATGGTGTCTGTCATGACTGCAACACTTGTTAGCTAGAAATGATGCAACTGAAAGTACTTTGCAAGGTTTTCCTCCTAGTTTTCATTGCTTACTGCACTGGTTAGCTTTACTCCTTCATGATGCACCAGGGATTGAAGGCAAGAAACCACTGGGGAAGATATTACTGTGGTAGTAAGAAAAGCACAAATCAGAATGGCTCATTTGTTAATCATTTATACAGCAGCTGCACAGAGGGTGATAAAGTAATATTATGGGTTGTGTTATAACGAATGACATCCGAGGCACAAGGAGTCAAGGGAAAACTGTACACGTGCGTGTGTGTGTGTGTGGCTGTTGAGTTGACTTCCTTGCTAAGTTCATTTTACTATAAAACAAGCGGTAAATTAAATGTTCATGCTCTGATATTATTAATGATCGGCAGTGTTTGAGAGCACAGGGAAATGTGGTGACCCAGCCAGGGTCAACCAGCAGGACCAGCATTGCCAAATGTACAAGCCAACAGCCAGGCTCCTCTGGTGAGAATTTCAGAAGCCCTCAGCTATAGCCATGGCAAGAGTTAACCCTTGCAATGCATTTTCAGTGCGTCGTTTCTGCCCAAAGGACTTCACAGCCATATGAAACTCCATTCACGGGGCCAGCAGCTGAAGGATCTGCAAGGCTCCAAACAACATAAAGCAATAAAAGGGAAGAGACTCTCTTCTTAAGGAAAATTGATTTAAGGACCAAGGCTCCAGAGGCCCTGCCTCTGTCATCAATGACAAGGGGATCTAAAGGAAGGATGCTGAGCCTGGCAAAAGGCCCCTTGTGCCATTATATGACAAGCAGTGGGTGAGAGAAGGAAGTGTCACTAGCATGTGCTTTTATACCTGTTACTGCCTGCATGGGAAGGGTGTTAGTGCAGGGGCAGTGCAGCCGCAAGGAAGCAACTACTCCAGCCCTGTTGGAAACAGTCCATCAAGAGGATGGAAAAAGTGTCTGTGCTGCCTGCTGTCACTGGGACACCATACTGCTGTGGGAAAGGGATATCCAGGAGGCTGAGTGCATCCCACAGGTCCATCTTCACAGCATATCAGCGTGCCTCCACCAGTGGCAACAAGAAAGATGGAGTGAGGGCACATGGCCCATCTTATGGACCTATTGCCCCATGTGGAAGCACATGGGAGGATAGAAAGCATCTTTCCAGAGCAGTTCTCAGGGCTGGGCCAGGCTCTCAACTGGAAACCACTCCCCGCCACCCGGACCCCTGCCTTCTGGTTCTTGCACACATACCAGAATGCACCTTCATCTTTTGTATCTCTCTCTTCTGGCCCTCTATCAGTATCCTGAGTCTCAAAGAAGCCCAGAGAAGTTTAAAGTCTACAGCATAAAACTGGCTTGGGTCCATTTCTTTGCGATACTGGCTGACAGTCGGGGGTGGGAAACAAGAAAGCCTGACTTATGAGGTGAAGAACAGCGCACGCCCTTACCCCTGCCACTCCCACAGTCCAGTCCAAGAAGAAGGTGCAGAGGTTTGCAACACAGCTTCCTGTTCCATAATGCTAATAAAGCTCTCCTACACAACGTAGTCCACATCACTGCCAAAGCAGCACAGAAGCAAAGCCTATATTGGTGAAGGGATGCGCATGTGGACTCACACCAAAACTAAAGCCTTATCTTGGACTCAAACCAAAGCTTATGCTGGGGCAATGGTGTGACCTCTGCGTGCCGGTGCCTATACTGGGACGACACACATGGTGTAACTATTCTTTGAGTAACTTGGTTTTCTTAGGCAGAATCCACATAGACACTGCCCATGGCAGACCCTGGAAGTGCCCCTTCCAAGGGATGGAGAGTCCCCCAAGAAGAGCTAGCATGTTCCAGCCAGAGCAAGCTAACAACTCAGAGCAGCAGGTAGGGAAAACCCAACTTTCCTCCACTGATACTTCACTGTTCATTTTTTTTCTTCCTTTCAGCCGCAGCTCACATACATCAGATGAGCCAGCATCCAGTGCTGGGACAGACGCCTGGTACTACCAGTGCTTTCAGGACCAGTCACTTGCTTTCTGGCCCCATACAGCCTCTCTCTCCCCCCAGCCCCTTCCCGTCCTCAAAGGCCATTGTCTTAGGGTGAGCACTGCCATCAACCCGCCATTCAGCACGGAAAAGCTGCTCCCCAATATCCGTCACCAGCCACATGGCCAATTCCAAGGGGTACAACTGGTTTTGTGTCATGAGACTCGCCAAGCAAGTTCAGTCCCAGCAAGTAGGCAATGGTTTGCAGGACCCAAGAAGATGAGGGCTCAGGCTAACACAGAGCTCGTCTATGAGGCCAATGTCCTGTCCAGGGGCCCCAGGAACCCAAGCAGCTCCTCAACCAGAGAGTCCAAATTGCTACTCTATGCTGGAGTGCCCCTATCTGAACAGGCCCTCTCCTGGGGACACATCTGGGCCAGCACAGTAGTGTCTAAGAGGATGTTATTAACTGTAGAGCCTCAGAGCCCTAACCCTGGACCAGGACACCCTTATACAAAACACACTAGAGGAAGTACAAGGCCTGTGAAAGGGCATCCCAAGGGCCAGGCCCAGCACAGCAGGCCCTTCATCACCTCCTAGCTTTAACTAAGGGCCTCGGCCCTCTCAGAGTAACAGCATGCTCAAAGCCCCAGAGCCAAACAGCTGCATGCCCAGCCCTGAGACTCTCTCCAGCCTGGGACTCACTAGTACTTGGCCTCATTACCTCCAAAGCCATCACAAGGGGGTCAGGAGCCCAGGTCCACCCCTTCCTCTGGGTTTCAGCCCAGGGTCCCTATGCTAAGCAGCAAAAGTCCATTCCTTCTGAGCTCAGGCACTTTCTGAACAGCTTCTTACCTCCCCTGCTTGCTGATCTTTCCCTGTACAGCTTATCTCCATCTCTGCCCCTATTCTATCCTGCCTGCAAGGTTTATAGCAGCCACCTGGGTGGCTTCATCCCAGCTGAGGCAAATGAGGAGACTCTTCATTAATCCTTTCCAAGTTGTTACTGTGGGATGTGGGGATCCTATCACATGGCCCCTACCTCCAGAAACTTGAAATCTGAGGGCCTGCTTACACTGCAGTGACTGCACCCCCCAAACCATGGCTGAGCCAGCGTTCAGCTAGGGCAACTGCTGGCAGTACAGCTGCAATGGCAAGGAGCTCAGCACTGGCTAACCATCCGTGCACTTACCCAGCTGCCCCAGCAAGCGTTGCAGCCTACACTGACTCCAGGTGCAGCTGGCTGGACCTAAGCTAGCTGCAGGATAGATACTCCCTTTGTAGGACTCCTGCACCTGTATGCTCTGCAGAGCCTCGGGAGCTGAGCACTGCACCTGCCTGTGCATCTTCAACAGCACTTACTGACCTTCCAGCTGGAGTCCTGAATACAACTCACCCTTTGCATGCTGGGTTAACGGCTATGTTGCACTGATTTTCCATGCACAGTTGTACAGAGCAGCTTTTTGGAGACTCAGCTCCTGTACAACCCTATTTGTATAATCTCTTCCAGGAAACACGCATATAAATTAGCTTAGCGGCTCTCTTCTAGGAAATGTGGACCACTGGGTTGTTGGCCCAGAGGTGCCTGTTCAGAAACAATCTGACCTAAGGACCGCCAGTGGCTTGAAACCAGTAAGAGGCAAACTGCTTGTTTTCTTCGGAGAGCAGGCAGAGGGCCTTCACAGCCTTGTGCAAGACAAGAGAGCAACATGCTCATTTCCTGTGAGCTGCCCAGCTGGTCCTGGCTGCATGATTTGATGTCAGGCTTTCTCTCTTCTTATCTCTAGGGAGAGTTTCTGAAATATCAAGGGAGGTTTTATGAAATGAAGAGATGGAAAAAGGTAAGGCTAAATAGTAGACTACACAACTGACATCATCCAAATGACTGGCACAGTAGAAACTGGTTGACTGGCCAGTTCCTCAAAACAGCTGCAAGATAGTCACTTAGCAAGATTATTTAACAGCAGACAGTTGCAGGCCTCTAGTGAAGTTAGGGAAAGTTGCTGGCTGTAATTTCAAAGGGACTTTAAACCATCATCTATTACAAACCCAGATATCACCTGCAGGTGTGGTTTTTGTGTCCTCCGGCAAAATGCAAACCTGTGTACGCAAACCTCTGTCCTGCTCCATTTGCGCTGGCTTCCTCTGTTTGTTTGGTACTCGGTACCTGAGGCTGGGCAGCAACCATCCAGGCACCCAGTAGCATGTACATCCACTTCAGCCACTCACTGGAATGGAGCCCCCATAAACATTATCATAGATTCATAGATGCTAGGGTCGGAAGGGACCTCAATAGATCATCGAGTCCGACCCCCTGCATAAGCAG